TAGTGAATAGTGTAAAAATATTTTATAATGCAATTTGGGTAAAGTCTTTGAAAACTGGGATCCATAGTGTAAGTGAGGGCACAAGCAATCAGAGTCCTATTCATTCATTCATTCATTCATTCATTCATTCATTTAACAATGTTTATTGAGCACCACTGTATGGCAGCCACTGTGCTGGTAGATGGGGATACAAAGGTGAAGAAAAGCCATATGTCCCCACTTCACAAAGCTGCCACAATGGTGAGTAGACAAATGTGGAACAAGTCAATAAATAAATCCCTGTAGCAAAAGTGCTGGGACGCACTGTGTTCTGTTCTGTTGGGTCCAGCAGATGATGAGTGCGGGGAGGCCAGCGGCTGGCACTGGTTGATACTCCAGTTTGGCAACATTAAGTTTTACCCAGGGACAAACCCGAGTTTAAGGGTGAAATCCTGGATCTCCAGGGAGCCAGTAGGGAAGAACTAGACAGACTGTCTTTCAGTTTGTCACAAAGACTTCAGCTCTGGCAAAGTTGTGACATAGAGAATGTAGGCTTTGGCACCTTTCGGCTCCAGTGTCCTTCTGCAGGCTGCTCTGGATCTGTGATCTAGGAAATGTTCTTTCTCCTCTGATCTTTATTTTTTGGACAAAACTCAACTGTATCATGATCCATCCTCCAAGTCTGGCAGTGTCCCCTAAAGTGACAGCTTTTCTAACAACAAAACAAGTCACAAAAGATTCCTATCCATGAAACCCCTTCCTTCTCCCCATGCCTCCCATCTGCCTCCACATTAAGGACGTTTCTGGAGACGATGCCTTAACCCACAGGAGTGACAGATGGTGATGTTTGAGGCAGTAGTGCAGGCTGCTGGGGTGGGGAGATTGGCTGCTACACCCAGGTGCGACCACTGAAGGAGCAAGGTTGGGGTGCAGCTCTGTGCCTTCTGTCCGATCTGTAGGTGAAGAGCTGGTGGATTTCTGGATCCTCACTGAGGAGATCCTGAGCATAGATGAGATGGACCTGGAACTCAGAGACCACTACCTGTCCCTCCTTCTTGTGCTGAAGGCCACCCATCTTCAGGAGGGCTCACGCGTGGTAACTCTGTGCAACATGAGCATCAGTAAGAACCATAAAGCATATCTGAGATGGGACTCCTGGGAAATGGAACCAAAAAATCAATCTGGTGTCCGATAACCCTCAGTCTCTTGCTTTCCAAACTGCCACCCTTTCCATCTTCTATGTATCAAGAATGCCAGTGGGAATCCCAACCCCTAACAGGGAAGTGATGAGAGAGGCCAGCTGCCCTTAGGCTGGTATGGGCCTCTTCCTGAGAGGTTACTTGCCAGTGACAGTTGGCTGGATGGAATAAAGAGGGGTTGGGACAAGGTAATTGAACAGCTCTCCATCTTCAGAGCCTACATGGCTTGTCTCTTTGGGAGATTTTCTAGAACAAACCATAGCCCACAGGCTAATGGAAGTCTATGTGGCCTATGAACTAAGGATGTTTTTATATTTTTAAAGTGTTAAAAGAGACTGTGTCACAGAGACTGTGGCCCATAAGGCTTAAAATATTTACTAGCTGGCCCTTTACAGAAAAGGTCTGCCAACCTTTTCTCTAGAACATCAGGTTCATCCAAATTGATTGATTGATTGATTGAGGAGGCATTGTTAACCGAAACACAAATGTGTTCCAGAAGGTTTGCAGTTTGGAAGTAGTCACTCTCTCCTTCGTTCATAGGTGTAATTGAGTACTGATGACATTAAAATCAGAGTTAGTAAGAACTCCTTTAAATTATCCTGTCCAAACCCTTTCCCCCCATCAGATCTGACCCTGAGAAATCCCAGTCAGAGATACATCTGTCCTGTTCTTAAACATATTTTCTTGTGCCTTTTGCTTTTCTTTATAATCACATTCAGTAGTCTGCAGAATAACTTGAAGAATCCCATAAAATGTCTTATTTCTATGGGGAAGAAGGAAGGTACTCACTCTGTGCTGAACAAACCCTAAAAACATGTCCATTAATATATCTGACCTATTCATACCCCTGGGTTGCATGAAGAGTGAATGAAATGCAATACCCAAAAACCTTTGGAAGAATTTTTAAAAGCCCCATCGTCACCACATCATTTCCATCTTCCTGTCTCTGTGTTCTTTCCAGAGTCCCTCCTGAACCTCACCACCTGGCATCCCAACCAGTCAACGACCAGGAGGGAGACCCTGAGCCACATGCAGAAAGTGGCTCTGTTCAAACTCCAGAGCTATTGGCTCCCCAACTTTTACACCCACGCCAAGATGACTTTAGCTAAGGAGGAGTCGTGCCAGGGTCTGATGCAGGAATATGAGACTCGCCTGTGCAGCGTTTGCTATACCCACGTGGGAGGGCTCCCTCTAAACATGAGCATCAAAAATGGCGACCACCCCCAGAAGCGGTACTTGAGCAAGGAGAGCAAGCGGAAGATGTGGCAGTTGATAGGTCATGCCTCTCCGTCTCTAGAGTTGGATACGAAGCCAGACACCAACACGATGCCCCCCGAGGAGGCGTGTCCTCAGGAGAAGGTGGTTATACAAATACTTCCCCAGAAAGAGGTGTCTTCGAAGGACGGAGTAATCAATTCCCTGGAAAAGGATATTCCCTGCGCCAGGAAGTCCAACGGAAAGGTAAAAGCCAAGAGCTATCTCCACATGGAGGGCCTCTTTGAGACTAAGCTCTCTACCCACCTGAGGACTACTACCCCCATCATCAGCCACTCCCCCCAGATGACAATCAAGAAGGCCCTCAAGCAAAACTTCTCCCTGGGACACACCCACTGGGCCTTGTGTGCCGACGCCTATGCAGGCAGTCCCTTTCGGGAGCACCTGAAGAAGCTGAATTTGAGAGTGGAGATCCAACTCCTCGACCTCTGGCAGGACCTGCACCGTTTCCTCAGCGTCCTGATGAGGAACAGGACGAGCGGGAACACCATCTTTCGGCACATGATGGGCAACCGAATCTGTGAGCTCTACCTGAATGAGCAGATGGGTCCACGCCTGCCACTCAAATCCCAAACCACTGAAGGCCTGAAGGAGCTGCTGCCTTTTGGGGTTATGAACCCCTGGATTCCCCGAGCCCAGAATGAGATCTGCCAGGTAAGCCATGACTCACAAAACTGGGTTGGTATCTGGAAGATTAAGTTAAGACTGACCCTAAATCCTATCTGGTCATTTATGCTAAGTTAATGATAAAATTATCCATATAACCCTTCACATATTGAAGAGTTGGTTAATCTTTTAGGAGCAAGCTGTACAAATTCCCAAGAACCAGCCAAAACTCTGAACTAGAATGGAGGTGGGCCAGTGGTCAGTATGCCCCTCTTATTCCTTCTTCAATTCCCCCTTTTGTGGAGTCTCCCAAAACCATGAGCCTCAGAGTGTTCCACTGAGGGGCGTCTCACTAACTCTGGCCTAAACCTTATGTATTGAAATGCAGGGTCTTCTTTTCCTAGACTAGCCATCAAGGACACAGCTCAGTTGAGAAGTGTTTATTCTTATCCCAAAACATTAGAGAAAAGCATGAGACTACCCTGAAGACTCACAGGAAGTAAGACCCCTAGTTTTACTCTCGTATCAAGATCTTGGCAGAAAACAAATGGCAGAGTCAAGTAACAGATGAGAGAGCCCAATAAAAGGGATCGCTGACAAGGAAGTGGGCATGACGGTAGGGAAACCACAGAGGACCGTGCAGATACCCCAGGGCCACTAAGGGTAGGTCACCTTTATCATTTTTAGGCCTGAAGAGTTGAGGAGAGACATTAGTTACCGAACCAGGGCAGAAAGAGCTGTATGGGATGGAACGCTTGACAGGAGCTGTAACTGTCAGTAGAAGGTTACCGCCAGTCCACAGTGATCCGGCTGGGAGGGATCAGGGGGAATAGATACCCCAAGCTCACTCTACTCCTGCTCTCCCGTCTTCTGTCAAGATTCCTGACTGAATAAACCCTACCAGACAGAGGGCAAGGGAGCCTGTTGTTGGGTCCATACAGGTTGATCTCCCTTGGCACGAGCAGGGTGAAGAAGGGTAGAGAGAAGATCTCAAGGGGCACGTGGATATAAACAGCAAATTATTTAGTGCATTATAATGTATTTACCTTATAGAGCACATTCACACATGTTACCTCCTTGAGGCTTCTCGTCAACTCCGAGAGGCAGACAGGGTAGTGTTGTTGCCACAGTTGTGCCATTCTGGCAAATGGGACTCAGAGAGGGTAAGTGGATTAGCTTAAAGGCACACAGTAGGCTACTAGAGGAACCAGGGTCAGAGCCCAGGAGTACTTGGCTCTGAGTCCAACACAGTTTCCATTATGCCATAATTACCCAGGGTCGGACATCTGGGTAGTATAGGACTGCATCAGTCCAGTGGATTCACAGCCAAACCTCTCCTTTGCACAGTTCTTGAGTAATGGAAGCCCAGAGGTCCCTTTCTGGAGGAGAGAGACTTAAACTGGGGCTGTGCTTCCTGGATGAGCAGATACACACAGCAAAGCCCTCTGCCTGGGCCTTGGTCTTCAGCAAAGATATTGAAGGCATTTGTATGTAGATAAGACTGGCCTACTACAGTTTCTCAGATTGAAAATGTTGGCATCATCTATGACTCACCTCCGTCTCACACCCATGTCTAGTCTATTGGTGAATCCTATTGGTTCAACCTTGAAAATATATCCAGAATCTGGCATTCCTCCCTACCCCTGTTACAACCACATTGGTCCAAGCCCCATCTAATCTAACCTGGATTGCTGTAGTGGCCTCCTAGCTGATGCCTCTGGGTCTGCCTCTGGCCCTCAGCAGGCTCATTTCCACACCGGCCAAAGGGATTCCGCCAAGACATACATTGTGTAATTTAACTGAAAATAAGCGAAAGGAAGTCAGTGAGGACCTTGAAAACAGATGGCTTTCTGTCTCCAGTAAAATTCAAAGTCCTTGCTGAAACCACCAAGGGCCTACACGGTCTGTCCTGCACCTTCTCCTCTCTGGCTTTATCTCCAGGATTTCCTGAACTTGAAACAAAACTAACGATTCCCTCCCCTCTGCTCCCAGAGAACTTTGTTCACACCTCTTTGGTAGCATGTGTCATAGTGCCATTCATCACGCTAGAAAGGGAGCTCCTTGAGAACCAGGGTTGTCGCATGTTGATCTGTATATTCCCAGCTAGGAGCATAGTACCTGGCACATGGGAGGCATTAGAACATATTGTCAAATGAATGAATGAATGAATGTGAGAGAACAGATATATAAACCTATCTAAGCACCAACTCATAGGTTTCTGATATTGTTTGTTTGTTTTAAGGTAATGAAATATTCTTCACAAGTGGGTGAGGCCCTTCAAGTGGGAGATATTAAGAGTAGACACAGCAGGACCGGCCGAGTGGCTCAGTTGGTTAAGAGCTTGCTCAAGAGTGCAAGCTCTGAGCAACAGGGTTGCCGGTTCAAATCCTGGCCCGACCTGAGCTGCCGCTGAGCTGCCAACAGGTGGCAGGATGGCTCAGCTAAAAAAAAAACAAACAAAAAAAAAACAAGAAGAGTAGACACACCAAAGGAGATGGCTGGTTTTCAGGACCATTTTGAGTATCAAATGAGATAGTACTTTGGAAAGGAACAAAGAAGTATGAGATGTCAAATAATTGTCCTTCCATAAACTGTTATATCCCTTTTTAAGTAAATATCAATTGCTGGTCCCTGAGATTCCGAGAGAGGCTGTTTGAGCTGCCATATTCAGAAAGGCAATGGAATGCCCTCTGGTTAGTCACGGCTAATGTTTGCTGTGCCATTATGTTTCCAAATTAGAGAACCCAGAATCTGAGGCCGACCCTTCTCCCACGTAAAACTAGCAGGAGAGATGCCGCAAACTGAGCACCACCTCCTGACGCTTGCATTGTGTTTGATTTTTTCAGATTCTCAGCCCCTGGTATGATGGGTTCCTGGATGAAGAGGACTACTGGTTTCTCATTTTTTCAGTAGGAGGGGCTTGGAGTTGGGGAGGAATCATGAGGTTGAGGGGAGAAAAGAGAGTAACTGCTCTTTTAGAAGCTTTATTTGTTAAAGTAAATGAAATTTTGGTTTTTTTCCTAGAGGCGACGGGGGTGGGATGGGGGGTGGGGGCGGAGGAGGTCGACATGGTCCCTGAAGTTCTAAACATAAACCTCACAAGGAAAAAGACTCAAGTGCATACGATGACTTTGAAAATGTCTCAGTCATAGAGAATTTCTCCCTTGTAGAAAATGGGTTTGGTTAGAAGAGGAAGGGGATCGGTGTGTCGGAGTGATGGTTCTGAACGACTTGAAAACAACCAGCCTAAGTCTGTGTGACGGGGAGGCACACAGTCTAGCTCCTTCCTCTGGTCTACTTCCTATAGCAAATGTTGTCTGCCCCCCTCCCCACTTCTCTTAGACTCAGGACAAGTACATCAGGACCACATGGCACAAAAGAGAACCTATAATCCAAAAAGAGACCATTCTGCTTTATAAGAGGTTTGAGGAATCCCTGGAATTAAGCCAGGGTTTGGCTAACCTGGAGGAAATGGATTCTATGCAGTGGCAAAAGATAGCTACCGAGGACCTAAGGCAAGGCGGGTCTCTCCGGGTAGAACTGAAGTCTCCAGTGTTTCTGGCAGGTGAGAGCTGTCACCACCACAGGCAACTGAGAAAGATTAATATTTAACATTCCGTGATCATTTACTACTGTGTGTCAGCTGTGTGCAATGCAGATGACCTCATTTGATCTTTGAAATAACCTATGAGGTAGGTAAGGCCTGAGGCAGAGAGGATACTGACATTCCCAAGGTCACACAGTAGGTGGCAGAGCCAGGGTCTGAATCCAGACTGACTGATTGCCTAGGCCCCTACTGGCTGTGAAGGGAATCAGAGCACCAAGTTTGGCCAGACTCATGCCCACTAAAGCATCATCACAGTTGAACTGAATGCTTCATTTTGTGCCTCTGATAAGCGTGTTCCCCCAGAATCGTCACTCTTCCCCCAGAATTGAGTCCAAAGCATTCCTGTGAATATATTTTTAACAGCTATCCTCCTCCCCCAACATAGCACACCAGCCCACCCAGGCAGTGGTAAGGGGGCACAGGAAGAGTGGGAACCACCCTCCCTGGAAACGCCTCCCTCCTCCGCCCAGCACACATGGTGACTTCCTCCACCACTCCCCTTTCGGAACACAAGTCTGACCTGACACAGGTGCCGCCTGTGCATTTGCCCACCCCGGGGCCCTGACTGCCAGGCGGGTTGGTGCCTCCGCTCAGGCTGCACCATAAACTCACAGAGCACCAGAACTAGGATGCTCTCAGCTTTCACATGGAAAAAATTAGTCCCGGAGGGGTGATAAGACTTGCCCAAGGTTGCTCAGCAAGGGAGGACTAGAATCCTGGATCCATTGCAGAAATAATTCACTGCTCTTACAACTTACAGCCAGATATCCCTGGCTGAGGGATGATAAGGGTGACAGCTGACATAAGGGCCACTGACATTTGTGAGTCGACACCCTAGCATTCCTTCTGGACATCACCAGTATAACAACAGAAAGCGCTGGACTGCCCTGGACAGTTCCGGGACAACTGTGTAACTAGACTTACTCTAAACTGTAAAGCTCAAAACCTAAATGAACATTTTCACCTCGATAGGAGGCAAAATGCTGCTAATCTGCCCGTATTTCCCAGCACAAGGTTAAAACTTCTCTGGCTATATCAGCCTTACTGTCCTACTTCGTTCTGGATACAAAGAAAAGCTATTTCTTCTCGATTCACCATGCAGGACTAGAAACAATGTGTGGCTAATTCTAGAAAAAAGAATTCTCTCCCAAAGGACAATTATTTGCAACTATGGGTCATATTCAGGTATATGAGCTGTCAATTCTGAAAGTAATTCCCAAGGATAGAGGCAATAGCAGAAAGCTTGAAATTCATTTGCAACTCCTCCCCAAAACAGATAGCTGCTTGGAAAGGGTTAATATTCATTTGGGTTGATTACTTCTTGTGTGTGTGTTAACAATTAGTGCCTTTTCCCAAGTCATACATTTCTCAGTTACCCTAGTATCCTCTCAGGCAGAAAATCTCCATGGGTCAGGTGTCCCCAAGAAGAGCGGACTCCTCGCACAGAGGGTGGGGTGTTGTATTTCCTTCTAATTTAGCTTAGAGAACTTGTATTCCTTGTGTATAAACATTCCGTTAAAACACCACTGTCCCACTTAAAGAACATTTCAAAGGTGGCGCTTTCAACAAAAGTATGTGAATTTTGATCCCAGAGTGGACAACTAGATTCTACCCCTGTTTTTCCCTACTTGATAGACATAGAGAAAATGACCTTTGAGGAACTCTGCTATAAATATCCAAAGGTGGCCATAGAGAAGATCAGTGATGACTACAAAATATATTGTGAAAAAGCGCCTAAGACAGGTAAGTGTGTGAACTCACAGAAAGATTTGAGACAACCAGGTAAGGGAGAATCGCCAAAGTCAATGGGTCATAAGCCAAAAGCAGAACCATGCTTTGATTGAAATGAGGGATCGTCAGACCATGTCTGGTTTTTTCTCCTACAAAGCCACAGTATAGGGCATCATCATCATAAAAATGAGATGAGATTATAAACGAATGAGGATGATGATGGAAATCGTTAATTCCTACCTTCTTACATAGTTATGACCCTGAGGTTTTAAATAATGCAGATCTGTCTTCTTCGAAGTTCCCTGAAGTCAGAAATGTATGAAAGGTTTGTTGGGGTGTGTTCTTAGGAATAACACCTGTAAGGGGATGAGGAAAGCAGGACTGGGCACACACAGGCAGACGCTGAACTGTGAGGCAGTTACAGGAGACCTCAGCAGATCCTGTAGGAAGCTCTAAAGCCAGGACGGCCCTCCACAGTTGTTCCTCATTGAGTCCCGGGGACTTTGTACCTCCATGTTGACTCATATGGGATGTGGCTGCCCCTAGATAGGATAGAACCTTGGGTGGGTTATACCCTTTGGTAATGGCAACTCCCAGAGCAAGTTTCAGGGACTTCTTTCTTGCATTTCTGACTTGATGTACTTTGTCAGTTTTAGGGAAATTTTGTTATTATCTCTTCAGATATTTGTCTTGCTCTGTTCAATTGCTTCCCTCCTTCTGTTAATCTCACTACGCACATTTTCGACATTTCAGCCATATGCCATGTGTATCATATACTTTATTCTGTATTTTCTATTTTGTTCTCTTTGGATCTTACTCCTAGTTCAGCAGTTCTCACTTCAGCTATGTATAGTTTGGCATGCTACCCATTTATTTCATCCTAATTTTCTACATTTCAGTCATTAAACTTTCTATTTTTAGAATTTCTGTTTTTTCTTTTTATGATGTTCAGTCTTTGTTGATATTT